ATACCTAATTAATATATATATATATATATATGTTGTGTGTGTATTTAGGCAGCATATTTTCATTTACACACGTTTCATTAAATAATATAGACAAGTTTTGTCTATTTATTTTATGTAAAATATTTTTTTTTCGTATCTTCTGATAAGTTTGATAACATTATCATTAAACGAAGAAAGAAATTCACAATATTTATCCATTATTTTTAATATAATCTAAGCTTTCGGCTTACTTAAGCCATTATCAAAGATATAAATCACAAACAAACAATATACGGACACGACAGTGATGATAGTCTGTCATTGTTTACATAGTGGATCACTAAGCAACGATAAACACGCGCATATAAGACGCTAGAAGCGAAAATCGCACCGCATCTCATGACGTCACACATGACTACACGATTTATATCTTTGATAATGGCTTAAGTAAGCCGAAAGCTTAGATTATATTAAAAATAATGGATAAATATTGTGAATTTCTTTTCGTTTAATGATAATGTTATCAAACTTATCAGAAGATACGAAAAATTTTACATAAAATAAATAGACAACACTTGTCTATATTATTTAATGAAACGTGTATATATATATATATATATATATATATATATATATAATATATATGTAAATGGATATAAATATAAACAGAATGAAGAAATTTTGAAAAAACAAACAAAAATCCTGTTTTTTCAAAATTTATATATATATATATATATATAACATACAACGTGTGTTAGCACGTGCGATACCCTGTTTTCATCAGCCGCCGACCAGGGGTGATATCACAGTCTCGGTAGCTATGGCGGGACCGTCACCCCTGGCGCCACCATCAGCGTTTGCCACCAGGCAGGGTATGAAGATAAGCTAATTGATCGTTCCTTTTTGTAAATTCTATCCGTAATGTTAGTTTCCTGAACGCGTTTGGCGTTATTGACGCACTCGTAAAAATCGTTATAGACGACCACGCAAATATATATATAAAACGTCATATCCTTTCAAGACGTAAACGGTCATGGCTCTCCAGAATCAGTTTCTTTATTATCTGGGGATTTTCATAATTTACAAAGGGTTTCTTGTTTTGGATGATAGTGAAGTGGTTTCCTGTTACCTTTTCCACGATTTTGAGCTCAAAATAATAATCCTCCTCGATCAGTTTCTATTCTAAACTAGAAATCCCAATTTACTCCGATATTTAACCCACAGCGTGGGGGTGAAGTGATATATTTATGGCTTTCTCAAGAGAATTAATGCAAAAGTGAACGCAAGAGACTAGACCAGAATTGAACACTGCTCGTCGATTTCAATTTCCGCGCCAATAACAGTTACATTTTGTCTCGACAGTCTCAATTTTAGACAATTCTAGACTGTATTTTGTCAACTTTCTGTAAAGTATGCGCCAAATTTGATAATTAGAGCTCGGAGCCCAGAGATCGAGCTTCGGAAAAAGTAGAGGAGAAAAGGTTAAATACGTGCAAATCATTAAAGTCAGCGAGGTAAACAAATGTCATTTTTTTTTTTTTAATATTTAATGTATAAAGCCGCTTTTTAGATCTGTCTTCAAGTACAACTAGAAGCAGAGACACTGATATAAACACCTGCACGTGCCCATTACTTGTCGAATAAGTAATGGAAATATTATTTGCCCGGCTAATAAGTTTGCAGGATTCTGTCTCAGCAATTACCGAATTTCCGTTACAAGGAACATGAGGCTCTTTCAACATAACCAACTCATTATACCCCAGGGATAGCGCCTCGTCGTTGGAAATCAGTCTTTAAAACAATTCACCATGAGAATTTTCCCTTTTTCCCTGTTGCAGAAAAGCTTTAGTTCGATTCTCTTGAGAGAGAATGACAGAGTGTGTGTGTGTGTGGTGCGGGGAATATGCACTTTATGACTAATAATTTTATAGAAGTAGGCTCACACATTTACAGAAGTTGGTATACGCATGTTGGGCGGATTGTCTCAGCGGTTAAACACAATCATTTTTATTTGCTTGAAAAAAAAAAAAAAAAAAAAAAAAAAAAAAAAAAATATATATATATATATATATATATATATATATATATATATATACACACACACACACACAAACAAAATTCCTAAACACATACATTCAATATATATATATATATATTAGCTAGATAAATATTTGGTAGTAATCCTTCTTTTATTCATGCTTCGTTGAATATAATGGAGAAGAAATATTTTGCAAGTCTTTTATCCAGTTTTTCTAGTGCCCTAAAAATCGTTTAAAGTCGTGTGTATGGGTGTGTGTGAGAGAAAGGGAGTCAGAGAGAAAGTGAGAGTGAGAAAGAGAGAGAGAGAAAGCGGTTGAGAGAGAGAGAGAGAAAGAGAGAGAGAGAAAGCGGTTGAGAGAGAGAGAGAGAGAAAGCGGTTGAGAGAGAGAGAGAGAAAGCGGTTGAGAGAGAGAGAGAGAGAAAGAGGTTGAGAGAGAGAGAGAGAAAGTTGGTTGAGAGAGAGAAGAGGAAAGGGTTGAGAGAGAGAGAGAGAGAGAGAAAGCGGTTGAGAGAGAGAGAGAGAGAGAAAGCGGTTGAGAGAGAGAGAGAGAGAGAGAAAGCGGTTGAGAGAGAGAGAAAGTGAGACAAAGAGAAAGTGAGACAAAGAGAAAGTGAGACAAAGAGAAAGTGAGACAAAGAGAAAGTGAGACAAAGAGAAAGAGAAAATGCGACACTACAAGAGTCCACTACAAAATCATGCGAATTGCACATCGCTATGTAGTGGACTTTTCTGGTAACGTAGTAGAAATTTCAAAATAGCCTTATCTGAGAAATATTGTGTCAAATAAACTTTTATAGTATGGGGTGCTGAAAAGTTATAGGCCTTAACAAGAAAAGATACAAAATAAAATGTGATGTTTGGTCATTAGCGCAGATTTTGGGAAGTGGATCGAGTCGAGACATTTTCATTTCCACTTCTATGAATTAAAATTCGTTTTCAAGTAAAATTGTTCCTATTTATAGCCTCGGCACAATGCAGACAATCAATTGTTATTTCGAATTTATTTAATTGGCAGTTTAATTCATTAATAAACACCATACAATCCGATATTATGAAAATAAAACCCCTATATTAATCATAGTTTTCTTTAAAAGCAGTATTAAATTTTCTAATGAAATGTTATAATAATAGGTTTATAAAAATGCAGAATTTATTATAGATTTCTACTTATAACCTATTAATGCCCACCGTCCAAAAACAGGTTAAATTCCTGGCTTCGAACGGGACAGAGTTCAAGTCCTGGCTTCGAACGGGACAGAGTTCAAGTCCTGGCTTCGAACGGGACAGAGTTCAAGTCCTGGCTTCGAACGGGACAGAGTTCAAGTCCTGGCTTCGAACAGGACAGAGTTCAAGTCCTGGCTTCGACGGGGTTCAAGTCCTGGCTTCGAACGGGACAGAGTTCAAGTCCTGGCTTCGAACGGGACAGAGTTCAAGTCCTGGCTTCGAACGGGACAGAGTTCAAGTCCTGGCTTCGAACGGGACAGAGTTCAAGTCCTGGCTTCGAACGGGACAGAGTTCAAGTCCTGGCTTCGAACGGGAGCAACAATTATTGTTAACAATGATTTTTGTCACCAATCTTTAAAGTGAACAAAGTGAGTAAGCATTTCTAAGTTGCAAAATAAAATCTCTGAATGATGTTATGTTTAATAATAACAGAGGCAAACACAGTATAGTTTAGGTGAACGCCTCAAAAGAAACAGTGATCATTATGACTGGGTACGCCAAAACTAAACTAGACAAATACGAGAGTAAGGAGCGATTAGAGATAGAGTAATGGTTAATGAGCTAGTCTATTTTGGTTGATCATTACTACTTTGTAAGGAGTTCGATCTTCACTAGGAGCACCATACCTGTGGTTACGCGCCAAAATTACAATTACACTGGAAGAATGAAGGAAAAATGTGAGAGAGAGGGAAGAAAGAAAGGAGCAATGTAGGAAACGAAGAAAGGAGAAATGTAGGCGGGAGGGAGGAAGGACAAATGTGGGTGAAAGGAAATAAGGAAGGAAGGAAGAAGGGGTGTGGACGAGAGTAAAGAAAGGACAAAGAGGAGATGTGAGTGTGAAAAAGAAAAGATGTGGGAGAGTGGAAGGAAAGTAGGAAGGAGACGTAAAAAAAAAAGAAAATGAACACTTTTCCTTGTGTATACATTTTAGTAAAACGTATGCGTATATAATTTTTAGCAAATACTCAATGGCTTTCTTTACCTCCAATGAAATCTGATAATCTAAAAAAAACACGCTGTCGTCGAAATCTATTCCCATTACTATCATTTCAAAATACCAATTTTGTTAGTATTTTTATTCATATTGTTTCTATTGCTGTCCTAGTTATTTTGGGTTATATTCAAAAATCATTGTTCATTTTACAATACATTTTATTTTGATGTGTGAAAGTAAATACGTTTGTTGAGTATTATTCCATAAGATTTGATGGCTGAAAACATTGTACAGCTTGATTTGTGGACAGGAAAAAAAACTCACATTATTATTTCAATGAACATATTACGATCCACTGGATTGTAAGATTTAAGATCCTGTGTAAGATTATGTACAATATACACAATGGAGGAGAGAAGAGAAGAGAGAGGGAGAGATGCTTTCTTACTTGCATTTGTGTATGCGTCTTCTTTACTTCTTGTTATGGAAAGTTGCACCAATCAAGCAAGTGAAGCTTTCAGGACAATAGAATGTTAAGAAAGCTTAGCGGCGGATGGAGTTCTTCAAGGCAAACACAAATCTCTTGAAGACAACACTAATCAATTCAGAAGCACTCAGTAGTTTAGGAAAAAGAAGCGGAGACGTAGAGTAAGAGAGGAAAAAGGGAAAATTGAAGACACGAAGAGTAGGAGGGGAAAAAAAGAAGAAACGAAGATTAAGAGGTGAAAACAATCAGACGCGAAGTGTAAGGGGTAAATACAATCAGACGCGAAGTGTAAGGGGTAAATACAATCAGACGCGAAGTGTAAGGGGTAAATACAATCAGACGCGAAGTGTAAGGGTAAATACAATCAGACGCGAAGTGTAAGGGGTAAATACAATCAGACGCGAAGTGTAAGGGGTAAATACAATCAGACGCGAAGTGTAAGGGGTAAATACAATCAGACGCGAAGTGTAAGGGGTAAATACAATCAGACGCGAAGTGTAAGGGTAAATACAATCAGACGCGAAGTGTAAAGGGGTAAATACAATCAGACGCGAAGTGTAAGGGGTAAATACAATCAGACGCGAAGTGTAAGGGATGAATACAATCAGACGCGAAGTGTAAGGGATGAAAATAAGCAGACGCGAAGTGTAAGGGGTAAATACAATCAGACGCGAAGTGTAAATACAAAGACGGATGAATACAAGCAGACGCGAAGTAAATACAAGCAGACGCGGGATGAATACAAGCAGACGCGAAGTGTAAGGGGTAAAAAATAAGCAGACGCGAAGTGTAAGCAGACGGGTGAATACAAGCAGACGCGAAGTGTAAGGGATGAAAATAAGCAGACGCGAAGTGTAAGGGGTGAATACAATCAGACGCGAAGTGTAAGGGGTGAATACAAGCAGACGCGAAGTGTAAGGGGTGAATACAAGCAGACGCGAAGTGTAAGGGGTGAATACAAGCAGACGCGAAGTGTAAGGGGTGAATACAAGCAGACGCGAAGTGTAAGGGGTGAATACAAGCAGACGAAGAAAATACAAACAGACAGTAAAAATAAAAAAAGCAGACACCAAAGAGAAAATAAAGCAGACACTCAAATGACTAAAATAGGAGGAATCAGCACTAATAATGTTGAATATTTTATTTGTGTGCATTTAGGCATATAGAATATCAAAGAGGCTTCAAAAAAATATAAATGTACGAGAATAGAAAAAAAATTCTCTTGCATATTTTATGACACTATTTTCAATTTTCATTCTTAAATTATTGATTGAAAAAATGACCATTATCTGTAAAGATAGTGTTTTTGTGGTTACACTCACTTTAATATTTTAAGTATTTTGAACATCTATAAATTAGAGAACGAAATGAATAGTAAAGAGAACAATATTAACAAATGGATTTATTTTTAACCAATGAATTTAAAAAGGGCGTATGTCAAGCGTTTCGCTTACAGCATAAGCTCTGTTTGTATATTTTCATTAAACTTCTTGTCTTTGTATCTAAGCTCACGAGAATAGTCACTGTTGTTTTAATGCCTATGTGTGGATGTGTAAAGTTAATTTTGTATAAATGCACAATAAGAAGCATCACCAGAGCGGTTTCAACTTAAAAGGCACATTGCAGATCAGTAGGATTCCTTATGTACAATGTTTCCGAACATGCTCATTAAGTCAGGCCCATTTGTGTTTCTTCAAAACTTACAGAGTCAACCAGTGGTGTATAGTACAACTAGTTACAGTTCAAGTATGCGTTGCAGGAGGCTCACATACAGTTTTGAATTCAGACTTGTCCTTCTGTACTGGTCTGTAACTATGGTTAAATAGTCCAGTCTGTCCAGCGATTTAGCTTATAGCTGGTGGGCAGAAGAGATGGATTCGTACCTTTCCCAAAGGTATTTGGGTGACAGTAATCTGCGCCCAGAATTCGAACTAGTAGCACCGATTTTTCGCTCAGGGCCTCTAAAAATTATATTACCGTGCGAAAATCCCTTGAATGACATTATCTTTTGTTGCGGAGATTTCAAAACGGAAAATTATATTCTGAACATTTATTTGCTTTTCAGAAGTTGATAACGAAATCTGTTGGACATTTCTTTCTGGTTCAGAGGATGGGTAATACGTGGCCAAGTAAAAGATTATCCGCAGTTTGACCATAACATATCTTTAGGTTTGTCACATTCACTTCTGCACATGCTTACTTATAGTTGGTACTATTGTGGTCACGTGATCGAAGTTTGACCGCGTCAGTTTTCTTGCTGCTGTTAGGGTGTAAATATGGCCACTCCGCTAGTAGTGTGCACCAAGGAAGAACAAAGAGCAGTGATCCAAATCTGCAAACAGCATGGCTACCTCATCGATAATTCGCCGGTTCGCCGTTAACATCTCTCGAGCTTGCTGAATCTTCTCGTCAGTGCTGGAGGTGGACTGATGTCCTGCTCCTATGTCGTGTCTCATGTATGTCCGGCTACTTTAAAACTTCTCCATCCAGTCTCACACACACACACTTCTACACGGTAGTGCACTGTAGCCGTATTGTGTTAAATATCTCCGATGAATTTCTAGCCCCTGAGACACCTTCCAACCAGAAAAATTGAATCACTCCTCCTTGGTGCACACTGCTAGCGGAGCGGCCATGTTTACACCCTAACAGCAGCAAGAAAACTGACGCGGTCAAGCTCAAACTTCGATCACGGGACCACAATAGTACCAACTATAAGCACGCATGATCAGAAGACAATGTGGCAAACGTAAAGATGTCTTATGACGAAAGTGTGGTTAATTTATTTTACTTAAACTCGAATAACGAGTCGAAATTTTGTTGCTTAGTCAAATTTTCAGTTTGACTGCAGCTTCGGATCCGTTTGGTTGCTGATTTTTTTTCTCTCTCGATAAAACGAGATAGTTATAGATAAGTAGCAATTATATTCGTCACTACACAGGACAAATTTATTTCCTTTGTTTTTCTCCGCAGTCAGTCGTCCTTTCTTTAAGAGATTAACGTAAACGGCAAAAAAGTATTAGCGAAATTGTCACAAAGTATTTCGATAGGTAGAAACATTTTCCGTCTTTTTTATTACATCTATATTATGTTATAACTAAATCAGTTAAATAAAGAAACGGCAAATTCTGTCTCTCCTTCTTTGTGTTTGAAAACACCTCTAATTGAGACGAAACTTGCTCCACATCGACATATACCTTTTTGAAATCAGGATGATCCCGGGATTGAAAATCTCCCCATTCATCTGGTGCTTCAACATCCAGCATTGGGGTTTGTGTCCGGATGAGGAGGGTAAAGTTAAAAATTAAAATTATATATTAGCACAAACACACACTATATATATATATATATAATTATTCTTATAAGTTTATTGAGCTTTATATTTTGGAATTATATAATTTACCTTTATATTCTTATTTTTCCGTGATAAAATGTTTTATGAAGCTTTAAAATAAAAAGTTATTTCACATTTAGACTTTTTCTTAACATTGTTTGATCTTTATGCTCGCTACTGTGTGTGTATATATATATATATATATATATATATATATATATATATATGCACAAACACACCCACAAAATATATATATATATATACACACACTATATATATTTCAAATAGACACCCCCGATAGGTATTCTAGAAATTTTTAGTAAGCAAAATGTTTTCTCCGGCATTTTATTTACTAAGATTTATCGAATGCGCAGGCCGATAACCGTAATAAATACTGTTTAATAAATAAAAATTGGGTGTCTATTTTAAATGCGTAGTGTCCACTATAATAACGTCTGGTGTAATTAAAATGTTGTATTAAAAATAAATCCATTAATTCTTTAGAAATATATAAGCTGAATATACAAATTTGTTAACTCTATTAAACAAGTACGTCTAAGTTGGGCAAGATATAAGACACATTTTGGAAGATATGATAAAAATGAATTTTTTTAATATCACCCTTTTAATTTAAATTTAATTAATTTTCATGGTTTGAAGAAGACATGCACACGAAGCTTGAGATTTACATATCAGATGACGGACAATCTTATTAGATTCAAATTAGATTGGCTAATTGCATTCTATTTTATGATTCATCTGAAAAGAATAATTTTGAAATCCAATCTTTTGCGATGATCTATTTTTTTTTTTTTTTACTGCTATATGCCCACAGTAAAATATCGAACCAAAATTTGTCCTCTACGTATCTATCAAGTTTTAAATATCGGAAAGAAATTATATAATACAAAAAGTCAAAGCCAATATCAATGACATAAATTTAATTCTATTTATCAAACTTAAGCATATAATTTAACACATTACCTTCGATATTTAAACAATGTTATCGATTGATTTATTCAAATTACCTTTAAAAAATGTATTTTATTTATTTATTTTTATAAAAACTACCATAAAGCATTAATGCGCCAAATGGCGTTCTGGGGAGGGTAAGATGAAAAAAAAAGTAGTTTTCGCAAAAAGAAATGAATATAAATAGGACAAAATAATATTTCGAAAATAGCTAAAATTCAAGATATAATAACACTGACAATTAACTTTGTTATCATACCTTTTTATATTGTCTTAAATAAAATCATGGAATGGTCGCACATAAACGTTCAGATGCAAAGCGCAACATACCACAAGACGATCACTGTAGTTAAGCAACGTCTGCTTGGGAATATCAAGTGTTGTAAGTTTGGTGGTGTAATACATAATGTTCTGGAATTGTCAATCGGAGAGTAGAGTTACAATTCCCGTTGAGTTCTTTATATTCACGTACGTTCAAACTCCTTTGGAAAAGGGCAGGAACCCACTTCTTGTACCCCCAAATATGGGTTAATTAGTAAGACTTATCATTGATGAGCGAATTAAATATGTGAAACTTGAAATTGAGAAATAAGTTTTTGAACGTCTAATATTTTTGTTTACTATTAATTCTTTGTTTCTTAATACTGAGCATTACTTACTGGTCGACATTATTTCTGGTAGGTATTGGGGTGGGGACAGAACAGTCTTTATATTATTGTATATTAATTAGTGATGTGCCATGTGTGATACACGTTTAGGCAATCACGTATCAATCGATCCCTGACTGACGAAGCCGATTTTTCCCTCAGGAGGTTGACATTTCTTTCTGCAGTAGACCAGTTGCCACCCGGTCTGTCCTGATATTTACCCATAGCTGGGGCGGGGTGGGGGCTAGAAGAGGAGGATTCATACCTTTCCCAAGGGAAAGTGAATGTAACGGATTCGACTGAATTCGAACTCTGCTCTCCGATTCCTCAATCTCAAGCCGCTATCCATTACTCCACAGTGTGTGTGTGTGTATATATATATATATATATATATATATATATATATATATATATATATATATATATATATAAGTTCGATACATATTATTTCGCTGATGACATCACCAACTTTCAAATCTAAATTGTTTGTCTATTTAAAATACTACATTTATTAGAAATATATTCAGTTTTAATGCAAGGATCATAAAAAATGACTTCAAAGGGACGCACATTTCGGCTTGTACTCTTTTCCTATTATCCAGTGGTTGTTGGCAGACAAAAAGGGAAATAAGACCTAGTGACAGGGATGTCCATTTCAATTTCATTCAAATTATGTACATTTGCGTATGCACATGTATATTTTAATTCCATTACAGAAGTAAAAATGTGTACAAAACTAAAAACTTTTAATACAATTTTATTTATTACAGAATAATTCATAAAAATTTCAATAGCAAATTATAATTTTTTTTTTCTAGTCTCCAAAGTTATAGATTTTATTGCTCACCATACGGTAAAGGTTGTTCAAGCTGAATAAGAGAAGAATTTATTATCCCAATGTCTTCCTCAGACTTGGTCAAATCGAGAGTGTGCACGTGTACTTGTGTGTACATTAAATGACGCAAGCACAGGTAAGTCACTCACACACAATATTACGGAGGCGCATGCAAAGCGAAACGCAGACATTGTGTGACGGACAAAGAAACAGCTCACACATATATATATATATATATATATATATATATATATATATATATGTGTGTGTGTGTGTGATTGTCCATGGGCTAGCAACTCCGCATAAAATTCCTTTGTCGGCTGCTGATTTTCATATTATACGTATGGAAGTTAACAATCATAAGGA